TGAAACGGCAGCCCAGTGCCGTGGCAACTTCACCCCATTGGCTAGTACAGTTACGCAAGCAACCAATAAACTATCGGCAACAAATAGACAATTAAGCCGCATATAATAAAGATATTTATTTATTTCATTTTATTTGTTTTTTCATCGTTGCCGATTTTTGCCGGTTGCATATTTCCGAATTCTATTATATATAGATGTTAAATTTGTTTATTAAATGTTAAATGCACGTGCTCTTGTATTTTTAATTTTTCCGGCTTAGCTTTCTCCTAATGTTCGTCACGCGCTGCACTGCGCGGGGAATAAAACAATTTACAGTTATGCAAGCAACCAATAAACTATCGGCGACAAACATTTAATCCGCATATATATAAGAAGATGTGATTTAAAACTTTGAGATAATGGCGTTGTTGCGTACGTACGGGTTCGTAATAGATTGAAGATACAAGTCCGATAATAGGTTAATAATTTTCCTCAGAGATATTCGTACAAGCGTTAACAATATCACGCAGTAATAATCAGTAGTTATACTTCAAAATACTAAAAACGTTAAATACAACGCTATGCAAAGCGCATCTAAAGAGAAAGCTAATCTCTTGCGGAACTGAACAACTCGCAACAACAATAACTAAGCAACTGAGCTGAGATGCTCTCTCTCTGGTTTTTTACGGTTACATCTAACACAGTGGCCAATTACATTTATTCAATTTCAATACATATTAAAGCGATATCCATTTATTAAATGCACGTGTCCCTATTTCTTACTTTTCCGGCATTGCTTTCTCTTAAAATTTGTCTCGCGCTACATTACAAAGAAAATACAATAATTTTTAATTATAATGAGATACATTCCGCTGACCTCATAGATCACGTGACTTATTTATACCTTTTGTAAACAGACAATGCAGATGACCTCAGAGATCACGTGACTTATGCACAGCTAATGCAAACAAGCAAGGTCATTCTTCCTCTTCTTCTCTTGCGGAATGTATGTCCTTCTACTAAAATTACTTATCTAAATACAAAATTCGTAACACTATATTGACTACAAGTCAAGCAGTCCACTGATTTTATTATTAAAAGTTTTTGGTTTCAACGCATCTTCTCTTCAACTCATCTTGCCATGCATTCGGTAACTGAACCTCCGTTTCCGCCATGTCAGATGTACAGATATGTTCTGTGACTTTCAAAACCACTTCATTCTGCGTCATCATTCACCCTTTGCATCCTTCAGTTTTTAACTGATTTAATGCATTTCAACATTCTCACATTAGAATTTGCATTAACACCAAATTGCTGATACCGATACTTTTTATAGATTGGCTTACCTTTAGATGCTTCAGCAAGGGTGAAATTCAATTTACATAAATGTTCCTAAAAATAAAAAAATAATAAATAAAAAATAAAACTAATAATACACAAGAAACTCCAGAACCAACCGTCAGAACAGGAATGGATAAATACTATTTAAAAAAAAATCATATCAGTCATAAGACTAGTTGTTTCTGACGGGCTGTGCGGAAGTGCCACTTGTTGTCCATGGCGTTTGTTAGATAATTTCACCTTTCCGCAGGGATGATGTGCGCAAATGTCACTTGTGCGGAACTGCAATGGCCGCAAGTATCACATCGCGCTGTGAATGGGAATGGGGATTTGTGAATACAGCAAAATCGGAATTCTCACTCGCTGAATCACTGCGTAAAAATCCTCAAAACACAAAAAAGACGTCATTGCTGAGCGTACTGTTTAGTTAAAATAGTGGTAAACAGATTTATTTTCCTTCTGTTAAACATTTGCTAAATTTCGTTTTCGAGACATAAAATTTTAAGTTATTGACATTATTTGTGAGATATATGATACATATTCATAAATTGGCGAATGCGAGTAAAGCAGTCCGTGACTAATCTTACTTATCTGACCTAATCAGTACAAGCGTGCGAATTTTATCATTGCAAGGAGTACAATATTGCGCCTGTCGTTGGCGAGAACCTTGAACACGGTACTGTCTGTCTACGGTAAGAACAGCTCCCGCCACGCTGTCTGGCGAGTGGCGGTCGCTATAGCAACAGGGCTAGTATATTTCAAATAGGGACGAACCAATGGTTGCTTTATTGTTATTTTGTTTTTGGCGACTGTTGGCTTAAGGGAAGTTTATCATTCGTCTTCTCGGCTTCATTCCAGCTGCACGCATCTTTTCTTAAGCCTTATATTATTATTAGCTATTTTTATTCTTGTTGTTATATCTTTTGTGCTAGCATTTGCTCAAATTCGCTTCTATTTAGCTTGATTTTCGTAGTGCTTTGTTAATAGCCAATTTTTTAAAATGCCCTTCCAGTTTAAGAAAGGTCAACCTTTAAAGTCTCAGTCACGTCAAATCGTGTATAATGTCGCAGAATTTTGCGCTTCTGAAGCTTCGGCGAACTCTTTAGTAGTTCCTCTTCCTTAAGTTTTGGTGTTGGTGTATTTAATTATGGCAAAGCTCACTAGGGCTATCTGCCTAAGGGAAGGGATGCCTTCGTGGAGGACTTTCTAAGGGAAACTGGCTCGTACACACGTTACACATGGGGAAAACCACGAAAACACCCATGCAGCCAGCCCATTCGCGGGATTCGAACCTCGGACCGAACTACCAGTGTTCAGCGACTTCCGCTCGGCCGCTGGTGGGCTACCTTAAGTTTTGAAGAGCGAAGTATCAACAATGGGTGAAAATAAACTTCTGAATACACTTGGAAAGAAATGTAAAAGCCCTGCTAATCATAAGTGTGAAATTGACAATTTTGACAAATGCGTTCGTTCTACGGCAGACAATACAAGACTTTTACATCAAAGAAAAGAAAGTGCCATCTGTGCGGAAATTACTGCCTGTCATGAGGCAAAAAATAGACTTCCCGTGGCAAAAAGACTCTTTGTGCAAAGTTTTGTGTTCAATGAATTTTCGTTGGAATGCGAAGAAAAAAAAAAAAAAAATCTTATCGAAAGACCTCACATTGTATTTTGGAGGAACAATTATTTACGAGAAATGAGAAAACTCAGAGCAAGTGAACGCCACATCGTTTACATCGATGAAACATGGATTGACAGCAATTTAACTTTTAAGAAATGTTGGCAACATGATACGGTTTTGGGCGCACAGCCAGTTTCCCTTAGCAAGCCTTCCATGAAGGCATCCCTCCTCTTAGGCATTTAACCCTGGAGGCTTTCCGTAATCATATAAACCAACCCAAACCACTGGTAATTAAGGAAAAAGCAGTTTTGATTTTAATTCACCTTCGCTTCCTTCCGCCATTAAATTAACTAGCTTTTGGTTTAGTTTAAAGGTATGGGAATAGAAGAAATGTTCGCAAAAAGTATTTATTGAGAGCATGGGTATGTAAAAAAACACTTTTACTTTCAAGATGATTCCATATACATTTAATGATGAAATTTTTAGTCAAGTATTAAAGCACAAGCAATAAATTAACAGAAAATTTTGAAATAAAAACATAGCAGAACGTCATTTAAAGACTGAAGAAATTGCTTTGAATGTTCAGGTAGATCAGCTAGAGGGGAGAACTATAAAAATTAAATTTTTTATATTTATGAAGTGCGTCTATACTATATTACAGAGAATGGGGCAATCAAGTAGATTTCTAAGATGTCATCTATGATTTTGCAAGCAAACAAATAAACAAAAAGAAGCAAAATAATAGCATGATTTTTTTAAATGTCAAAATTAAAATTTTTCTTCAAAAATAAACACGGATTTTTAAATTTATTTCCCTACAAGTTTATTTTTACTCATCGTACATCTAGAGGGATGGCAAATTCAGCGACTTGTACCTCACACGGCAAAATCAAAGACCGTTTCTTGACTGCAAAAGCTTTATTTACGCCATCGAATTTTCATTTTCGGAAATTGGATGTCGGGGTCGACGCAAAGGGTCAACAAGCATTTTACTTGAAACTAAAACAAAATGTGAATATCGCCAAATCATCTTTAAATGCGCCAAGGTGGCAAACTCAGAAGTAAGTCTTCAAGACAGCCCTACGAAAAATGGGTTAGGGCTCGTTTACGGCAACAGACAGCTGCAGACAAACTGGCGAGAGCTGTTCTTACCATAGACAGACAGTATAGGTGACAGTCCAAGGAGGTTAGAATAGAAGGAGGGAGGGTTCGCAGTTTCCTCCACTATCGGGGAATGAAACTCCACCCAACAAGCGGCGTCCATGTTTGTAACTTCAAAACATTGCATTACGGCAGTGAAACGTACGTGTTTTTAAGCTATTCCGTGCATGCATTTTCCAATAAAAATACGTAAAATTTATAATGAAATGCTTTATATTGTTAGTTTTTTGTTTTAAAGTTATAAAGATGATATCCGTAATTTACTACGTACAGAAAATCATTAAGAAATAGTTCGACATCTAAATGCATGTGCCTTGAAGCCTTTAAAAATGAATAATATAACAATATCATCAAATTCGAGATCTTCATCAAACCATACAGACAAACAGGTTGTCTACACACTATGTAGAATGTATGGAAAAAAAGCAGGCTATTGAAAAATTGTGCAAAATTCGGCCTTAAATTGATACTAATATTGTAAAAAAAAACTCTAAGTATTAGGAGTTAAGCGTGGATTCCGTGTTTTTCCAAACAGCAAAACATATTCTGTAAAACGAAAATAAAGCTAATAAAACGATGTATATACATTCAGTTCCCAAAAGCAATGTAAAACACCATGCCTATTTTGTGTGTGTTCTATTCTTGTTGCTTCGTAACTGTTCCCAATTTCTTTTTAATTGTTAATTTTCGCTTCGTCGTTTATGTCATTATCCATAACTGACAAAACCAAATTAGCAAGTGTTCGAACATTCAGCACATTGCAAAAATTCTAAGAATTATTAGGAAAGTAACAATTATCTTGTAATTACCAAGAACATATAATTAAATAACTGTGAAATTCAGTGCGCTTACAGTGGTGTGAAAATCTCCAAATGACAATTTTTTTTTATTCTTCCAGATAGCGATTGTAAGCTAGGTAATGTGAGCGACATTCCCACTTTCTACAAAGAAATGCAAAATGAATGGACTTACACCAATGAGACGAAACCGGAACGGAAAACCATGGGTCCTTCAGCGATGTTCAAAGTAGCACTAGATGTTTGGAATACAAACAGAAATGGGAAAATGGCAAGTATACATCTAAGGCTAAGAAATAGCATATTCTTTTGTAAATTGCATATTTTATTAATCTCTTATACTAGCGTTTCTCAATCCATGGTCCTCGAAGCCTTTCTCTGTAACCCTTCTGAATGAAAAAAAAAAAAAAAAAAAGAAGAAGAAGAAGAAGGGAAAAAGCAAGAAAGAAAGAAAAGAAAATGAAAATCTGAAAGCTTTCAGATTTTACATTACGCCCCGGGGCCTATTTTTAACATTTTGTGTGTTACCTTTATTTATTAAATATCATGTTCTTCGCACTTAGACCATAAAATTCAGTTCGAGAGCAATATCGCAAAATAATTTTAAAATGAGCATATCTTTAGAATTTCCAATGCACAGTCTCGCACGCTGGAGATAAAAAAAATTTTTCTGTACAATGTTGCCATTGCTTGCTTTGAAATCCTTGAGTTTCAGAAGACAAACAACAAAAATCAGCGTTATATTTACAACATTTCCACAGGACTAGTTTCGATGGTTTTACCGAACCACCATCCTCAGCTGCAAAACCGCTGATTTTTGTCGTTTGTCTTCTGAATTAGTTTCATTTTGCGGTTTTGCAGCTGAGGATGGTGGTTCGGTAAAACCATCGAAACTAGTCCTGCGGAAATTTTGTAAATATAACGCTGATTTTTGTTGTTTGTCTTCTGAATTAGTATTTATTCGGCGTGTTATTGTGTCTTAATCCTTGAGTTTGTTAATGAAAAATTCGTTAAACGTGTTACAAAATATGAAATCGATAATAAAACAAATTCCGAATTCCAAATTTGGGCTTCCAGATGCCGATATTCGGAGGCGGATTATGTTATTCAAAATTAAATGGCTCTAGGTACCGTTGTTTTAGCACAATGCGAGAAACATGCATACATTTATGCAGATTCTTCATTATTTAATTTCTTTAAATATAATACAGGGCAGTAATATTTGGTGGCAACAATTTGAAAAGTGAAGCAACGCTTATTGAATCAACGGATAATGCCAAAACGAAATTATTAGTCCATTTGGGCAAATTGCCGTTTTGGATTTAAAAAAAAAAATAATAAAATAAAAAATAAATAATAAAAAAATAAATAAATAAATAAATAAATAAAAATAAAAAATAAGTAAATTTAAATAATAATAATAATAATAGTAAACAAATACATAAAATATAAAATAAAAATAAAAGTCCGAATGCTTTTAAATTTTATATTACGCCCCCAGGGACACTTTTTTAACTTTCTGTGTGTTTACCTTTATTTATCTATAATAATAAAAGCAAGTGTAATGTGTCTGTCTGTCTGTCTGTCTGTCTGACCGAGCTCTCCAGCCAAATCTATCGCACGCAGGGACCTGGAATTTTTTATACGGAAGCACAAAGGGGCTGGCCACCAGACCTCGAAGCCCGATTTTCGATTTTTGAATTAGAAAAATTTAAAAAAATTATTTATAATTAATTAATCACGGTTTTTTTGACTCACTGATATTATTATTTGTTTTCAAATAACGTTCGATTGTAACAATTGATTTCTTTATTCTAGCGTTAGTTTGCTGTTTTTGACGATACATTAAATCGATTAATTACAATTCATTTCTTTTTTGTAGCTTATTATTTATAATTAATTAATCACGGTTTTTTTGACTCACTGATATTATTATTTGTTTCAAATAACGTTCGATTGTAACAATAGATTTCTTTATTCTAGCGTTAGTTTGCTGTTTTGACGATACATTAAATCGATTAATTACAATTCATTTCTTTTTTGTAGCTTGTGGGGGGGGGAAGAGAGAGAGACAGTCTACATGTCCTACACTACTATTCCTGCGCTATTCACTTATCTGCATTTTCTAAATGCACGGGCAACGCCGGGCGGGTACAGCTAGTTAAATATAAAGTTCGCAATTAAACCATAAAATTCAGTTCAACAGCAGTATCACAAAAAAATTTCAAAAGAGCATATTTTTAGAATTTCCGGTACACAGTCTGGCATGACGGAGATAAAAACCTTTTTTTTTTTCGTACAGTGTTGCCATTGCTCCCTTTGAAATCGTTGACTTTGAAGTCTGTTAATACAAAATTTGCTAAAGTTTTATAAAATATGAAACAGATTATAAAATAAATTCCAAATTAGGTCTTCCAGATGCCCACATTCGGCTGGATTATTTCGTAATGCAAAATTCGATGGTTCTAGGTGCCGTTGTTTTATCACAATGCGAGAAACATTCATACTGTGCAGATTCTTCATTATTTAATTTTCTTTAAATATAATGCAGGCCTCTAACATTTTGTGGCAACAATTTGAAAAGTCATATGCCGTTTACAGCAATATCACAAAATATTTAAAAACAGCATATCTTTAAAATTTCCGATAGACAGTCTCGCGCGTTGGAGAAAAAAATTGTTTTATTCCGTACACTGTTGCCACTGCTCGGTTGAATTCGTTGAGTTTATTAGGAAAAAATTCATTAAAGTTTTAGAAAACAGGAAATACCAAATTCGAAATTCAAAATTTCGGGCTTCCAGATGCCTAAGACGTCGCGCTTCGAGCGATATTCGCTACATAACTTGTTTCGACTGGATTCGACTCGACCGATGAGAGACCTGCATCCGTCGCCCTCGAAATCGGTAGAGTTTTGGTTAACATATACGCCAAACAGAAAGCTGTTACTTTGCCTAATTTTACGTTTTGCTTTGGCAAGATTCCTTTCTCTCTTGATAGAGGATGTTTCTTTCTAAATAGCCTATTAAAAATATTGCTTGTCTAATGACGAACCTGAGTACTGAAATGCATATATACACACTGCATAACAAAAAATGACAATTCTAAAAAAATTGGACCGATTGACCAAATTCAGCTTGCGTTTTTCATCTCTCGAAAGCGCGACTATTATATTATATATAAGATATATTAGCATATATTAGATTTATGTACAACATTGTGCTAAATTAGGTGTTTTGACCCAAAAATCGTACTTTTTCTGAAACGACATACCGATTTTTTATCCATATTTCGATTCTACGACTTAAAAATTATGCCTAAATATTAAATTTTGTAGAATTTGGTGAGAACCTTACCGAAAAATTTATCTTGGCGCACTTTTTTCAATTTGTGCCAAGCGTAATAGGCGAAATTCTTAATTTATGGCAACCTATTTTCTTTTCCCTTTCGTTGTTCACGGACGGGAAAAAAGGTGCCTCGTTCATTTTTAAAAATAATTTTAACAAAGTGTAAGCCACATTTGGCATTATTATCACTCATAACAAATGTGCCAAATTTCAAAATCGCCAGTATATAAATACACGCATATCTTCGGAAATTAACCTCTTAATATTTTCAGGTATGCCTAGAAATACATTTACTTTAAGATGATCGTAAACATTTTATAGTTTATAATTCAAAAAGGTTTTGAAGAAATTTATAAAAATTACTAAAAAATTCAAAATATAAAAATAAATCAGAAAATATCTTCGAATTTTATTTGGATTGAACCTAAATTTTGACTTGTGAAAGAGGGAATTAAGTTTAATAAAAATAGAGATATTAATAAATGTATACCAAATTCAATTAACAGTGAGGAGATAAAATTTTGAAAGCTACAGTGGACGGACAAAAATATGGAAACACCTTGTGAAATGCATGTTTGAAAAGAAAAATTGATTTTAATGAAATATGTAGGTGGCGCTAGCGTTTTTGACTACTGACGCCACCTATACAACTTCGTAAATGTGCTAACAGTTCAGTTGTTGTCCGCGTACTGTTATGTGAGGTTGTCATTGCATTATGTCAGAGTTAACAGACTTCGAACGTGGGCAAATTGTTGGAGCACGTATGGTAGGTGCTTCCGTAAGCAAGGTAGCCGAGGTGTTTAGTGTTTCAAGAGGTACTGTATCGAAGATTTATTCCGCATATTTGAAAAGCGGAAAAACATCATCTGCTAAATCACAGCGCGGACGATAGTGTGTCCTGAGTGATCATGACAGACGATCATTAAGGGCAATTGTGACGAAAAATAAGAAGACCACAGCTGCAAAAGTTACTGCTGAAATGAATGTTGTGTTACCGAACCCTGTGAATACCAAAACAATTAGAAGGGAGCTTCATAAGCAGGGAATTGCTGGCCGTGCTGCAATTGATAAGCCACTCATCAGTGATGCTAATGCCCGTAACAGGAAAAGGTGGTGTTTAAGTCATAAAGCCTGGACTATAGAGCAGTGGAAGCGAGTAATATGGTCTGACGAGTCTTCTTTCACATTGTTTCCCACTTCTGGCCGAGTTTACGTCTGGAGAACGCCATCTCAAGCCTATAATACAGACTGCTTGTTGCCAAGAGTGAAACATGGCGGGGGGTTCTGTTATGGTTTGGGCAGCCATATCGTGATTCTCTGCTAGCCCCATGATAACTGTGTCAGGGCACATGACTGCCAAGACTTATGTGAACATTTTGGCCGATCAAGTTCATCCCATGGTACAAACTTTGTTCCCCGATGGTGATGGTGTCTTCTAAGACGACAAAGCCCCTGTTCACACAGCTCACATTGTCCAGGACTGGTTTTCTGAGCACGAGGATGAGTTGTCCCATCTCCCCTGGCCACCACAGTCACCAGACCTGAATATTATCGAACCTTTGTGGTCTACATTGGAACGGAAAGTGCGTTCTCGTTATCCACCGCCAACATCGTTATCTGAACTTGCCACCGTTTTGCAGGAAGAATGGTATAATATTCCTTGGCAAACATACAGGAACTGTATTTATCCATTTCGAGAAGACTGCAAGCTGTTTTGGATGCCAACGGGTTTCCTACACCATATTAAGCAAAGAAACATGTTTTTTAAAGTTGTTTGCATATTTTTGTCCAACCCCTGTATGTTTTTAAAAACTACTCATGCGATTTTTACAGAACTTGGCACTTTTGCATAATTTTAGTAGAATCAAAATGTAGAAAAAAAAAAAATCGGTGTGCCATTTCAGAAAAATCCGATTTTGCGGCAAAATACCTATGTTAGAACAATTGCTATATACAAATCTGATATATATCCTAAGTTGAGCTTTCAAAACATGAAAAAAAGGAAGTTATATTTCGTCAGTCGACTCAGTGAAGCTGGAGATAGAGAACTGTCCTCCCCTTTTTTTGTTCAAGGTCTACATGTGCACTAAATAAAAATTGAATTTTTTTATTTGTAGGATTATATAGTATTTCTGATTCTATTTAATTAATGGAATGAAATTATTTATGAAAGTATTCATACTTATTAAATACTCGCCCTATTATTTGGTATTATAAGAATTTTACCCTTTTTTAGGCTTATATGGGAAAATCTGTTACGGTTAGAGGCCTTAATGCTCAATACTGGAGACGTTGTGATACTCCTTCCACATACGTTGATTACTACTTTACTAGTAAGTATATTTTTGTTCTTGTAGATTTCAATTAAACGTTTTAGCTATTTCATATATCACGCATTTTATAAATTGAGATCCCTTGTTACTTTCACTGATAAAACATAATCCCATTTTAACGCGATGAATTCTGCTTGAGCAGATCCTATGATTCCATTCAACAGCCATTAGCATTTAAAAGCTATAGGAACGTTTCTAAACTGGGATAGTAGATTCAGCCCATGCATGTATTGACTAGCAAGTAACGAGCTCCGCAAAAGGACTTATTCTCAAAGTGAATTTGAAACAACGAATGGAAATTTACACTTTTCGCTATCTAGAGATAAATTGAAAAAGAGCCATTTCTCAATCAAGAGAACAAATGCCGCCAGAGAAGTCTTGACATTCTCAGTACGAGGATAGTTAAAAATCATCTCGTACGGTTAATTTCAAGCCTTCATTTAGGTTTCTCAACTAAACAATTACCAGTGATTAAAAAAAATGTAGTTCCTTTGCTAGAACATTAAAAGAAAAGACTTTCAATGAAATGATAAAGGCATTATATCCTTCTGCGACTCTCAGAAGAAGACTTCATTCAAAAAGCAAATATTCTATACTTGGGGGAATATGGAAGAAACTGTTGTGAGCAGATGTCAGGAAGTCAACTAATCCCTAAAGAGCTATGTTATGAACAACTAGTGTAGAATCATCTTGTGTGTTTACGGAGCATAATTTGTAGACCCTAGTGAAAGACGAAGTAACGAATTCTCCCTGTGTCTTGAACGAACAAATGACTACAGACGAAGGTTTTAACAACCCTTTTATTTTAACTAAACGGAACAGAACATGCACTCACAAGTTAACCACTACTTGTGACTAACTTGAACACAAAATGGTATGTACAATCACAATGAATTAAATTTTAGCTAAATGACTGGCTGCTACTCAATCTTTAATCGGTTACACACAGTAAAGCCGAGTCTATAATATTGTTAAGTTTTTTTTCTTCGTTTACGTTACGTACGTACGGGGTTCGTGTGGATTTGGAGTGAATAAGGACAACAGCGCTTGATGAAGAATGAAAACACAATTTATTAACCAGTATTATTCAAGAAGCTCCAAAAGCACGTTTACATAGTCGTCGAAGAACTACCATAGACACGCTGTAACAATCAGCGACACAGCCTTCAGGCTATAACGGTTAAGACAGCTTCACGACGAAGCACCAGAGGACAGCTCCCGACTCTGCTCGGTCGTTCTCGGAATTCTACGTACTCTCAAAACTCTCCTCGCTACAACTTGCGATGCACTCGACGATACACAAGAGTACAGCTCTCGACTCAGCACAGTCTAAGACAAAACTCGACGATGTACAACTCGCGATACACTAGAAGACTCTCTCGATGCACTCGAAGACCAACTCGGCGCTAGACTTCGAGACACTCGCTCAGTAACTGACTCAACTCGCTAGACAAGGCACTAACTGACTGACTGACTCTCCGTAGACCTTAGACCTTCGCTTTTCTGAGAGTCATACGACCCGTGAGGGCTTTTACCAATCCAATAATGTTTCCTTTCCAAACAGCGTTATTTAAAAATAAAAGCTCTGACTTATCAGGGATGCTTAGCGCTATAAGTGCGTCATAAAGCGCTTAAAAGTGCATCATATCTTGAGTTTTGGTGTTGTACTAAGCAGAAGTAAGTGAGCTCTTGAGTCGCCATCTATCGTCGATTCTGTAAGTTTGCTGGAAAATCAGATTTAGGCTTAACTTCAGTCATCTTTGCTGCCATCTGTTGGTGAGATCTGCAAATTAGGCATTCTACGTCTAAAAGATGAAATTGAAAAGTAAATTATGAAAAGTAAGTAATACCTTGAAAAGTCTTGGTGAGGTATTAGGATAGTACTGGAGGATTTCAGATCGTTTAGCTATGAAGGTTTAGTCTGTTTCTGCGAATTTTAGGATCATTTCTGCTGCTTTGAACGCAAGTATTAGTTTGTTCTGTGAATTCTGAGCTTCTTTGATTTTCTGTGCAATAGATGAAATATTCTGTAAGAGTTGGAAAGTTTTTGGATCTTTAAAAACTGAGAATATTTCCTAGAAGTCTTCTCTAGAAGTTGAATTAGGTTTCAATTTTTACTGTAGGATTAGTGAGTGGTAATATTTCTATGCTGATTTTGCTGATTCGGTAGTGTTGGAAAATTTTCTATCGAAGGCGAAACTTGTCTAGGTGAGGTTTTATCTCCTTTAATTTCTAGTTTGTTAAATCTTCTTTGGTAAATCTTACACTCTCTGTAAGAACTTACGTGGGATTCTGTACAAAAAATGCATTTAGGTTTCTGTTCTGGTTTAAGTTGACAACTATTTGATCTGTGGTTTTCTCCGTATTTAACACATCGTACTTTGTTCTAACAATTAGCCTGGGAATGTCCGAATTCTTGGCAGTTGAAGCACTGAACTGGTAGTTTAAGGGGTGTGTATTTTTCTATTATAACGTTAAAGCTGAAAATTCTGTTGACATTTTGCATTGCTTCCCCTTCCTTGGATCTTTTGAGTTCTATAAAAAATATTGGGAATTTTATCATTTTGCCTTCTATTTTCTTCGTAAACTGCTTTATTTTAATGATTGGAATTTGCGGTTTTCTAAATCTTGCTGAATTGCTTGCTCTGTGATAGTGCTCGGTATATTTTTCAGAATAACTTTTACTGTATTGCTAGAGTTTAGCTGATATATTTGAAAATTTAATCCTGATTTCTGAAGATTTCCTACTGTAGCCGTGAAATCGTGTTCCGTAAATGTTCTAAGATAAATTTTTCGAGCTTTCATGTCTGCTTCATAGTCTGCTGTGCATGTGTTGGCGAGAAATTTTTGTACTGACATCCAGTCTGCTTCTTGATCTGTGATAACTATTGGGGGAATTTTATCTGAGTTTTCTGGTTGTTCGTGTTTATTCCCTTGCACTGTGCTATTTTTGCTTTCTTTAAGGATCACAAATCTGTTTGTTTGAGGAATTTCTGAGGTTTCTAGGGTTTTAGTGTTTTTAGCAGTTTTCTTTGGAGATACCAATCATCATTTTTATTGGGCTCTGTTGCTGTTAATAGTACTGTGGTTTTAATGGCTGCATCTATTTGGCGTTCTAGTTTAAGGTGCTCAAGTAAAGTTGTTGTTCTTTCATCTTTGGTAATCTTTCCTTGCTCAGCTAAATCTATGGCTTCTGATGCACGCTCACCGATTTCCGTTTAATTTCTGTTAGGATTTCGATACTGGATTTTATCTTTGCTTGCTCAGCTTGGCCTGATATAAGATTAGGGAAACATTTTTTATATTTGTCCATGACGGATTTAAATTCTTGCCGCTTAGGGGAGGTAGTCTTTTCACGTTTTCTTGTAAATTAGACTGTAATTTAATTTCACTGTAATTTAGTTGTTTTATCGGTAGGGATTTTTTTAACAAAGTCATGAATAGTTGGTTTATGTCTGCGCTTCGAAGTTTGTCGTCACTATTTGCCCAAAGTCGATCCGGTGGAATTTTTTCCCTGCTGGCCATCGAGAAGAATAAAGATTTATGCTTACCGAAAATTCTGGAAGAGCTGATAAAAAACTGAACCTGTCTCCTTACCCGCAGGGTTTATATAGCTTTAAATCAGTGATGTTTTGGCTTGTGTTCATGAACATTCTGGGTTAAACCGATAAGAATTCGTTCCAGAAGGTTCTCCATCCGTCCATGGCATATCGCTAATTCTGTCGGCAATTGAGCGATTTCTCGCCAAATGTGGCAACCCTTGTAATTTTATTACCTTTCCCTTGTAATTTTATGGCAGCCCTAAACCTACTTTACGGGGAAACTATCCCACCGCGCCTGGACATTTCATAACAATATCAATATAAAAATCTAAATGTCTAGCATCAAATATTCAACTACTGAGCTACTTTCAAACAAACAGCATAAACTCGGAAGTAACTCTCCTACCGCGAATTCCTAAATTCTGCTACTTAAATATTATTTCCGAACTCGTTTAGATTTGCATATACGTCTGTCATGCACATACTCCGTAAGAGGATCCTATCGACCAAGCTTAGCGGAAGAACAGTTAAGCCAACGACTTATAGCTGAAAGGAGAGAGGAGAAAATCTGGCAACGAGAAGAAGCGTGCTTGATGCGAGAAGAACGGCATGCTCGTATGAAAAAAACACTTTTTCTGAAAGGAGAGGTAAAAATATCTGGCAACGGGAAGAAGAAACGTGCTTGGTGCGAGAAGGACGGCATGCTCGTGAGAAAAATTTGAAAATTGGTTTGGCTGTATTCCGAGAGTAGAGTTAGTCTTGCTTGTCTCTTTTTTTTTTTTTTTTTTTTTTTTTTTTTTTTTGTTAAGAACTGAGAGATGCTTGTGCGTTATTACTTGTGCGTTTGATGTAAAATGTGAATAAAAGCAATACTTTGTGAAAAGTTAATGTGTATTACAAATTTAAAAATATAGCTCATGTTATTCTTAAACCTGCATAAGTGTCCCAGTTTATTTCCTCAAATAGAGTTGACTAATAACATTCATAAGTGGATGGAAGCGAACCGACAAAGATGAATTAATCAAAGGATTCGATTTATGACAACGTCATTTAAATTTGCATTCTGTCAGGAATTTGAAATCATAAGAGAAAGGAAAGTTTCTTAAAATAAAAATAATTGACTAAAACAAAGTAAGGTCTTTAGGATAAAACAACCTGTCGATGAAAACAGATCTATACTAGCTATCAAAGAAGACTTTTCCCCCTTCATGATGGTTGCAATTTAACTCATTTTATTTCATTAAATATGCTAAATTTAAATATTTTAAACTTCTTACTTCTAATTGTGTATCAGAAAAGAGAGGCATATTGTTTCCGAATCTTAACAAGCTCTCATTTTTTTATTTAGCCCCAGATGTAGAAAATGCTTATGGTCTGGATTTTCTGAAGGTAATTCCTTTAAGAGTTTACTTTGGTGGAACAAGAGAAGGTGTGGATAAAGGATTGTCAGAAGAACAGTTTGAAATCATCAGTTTTCAGCCATTCATTTCTCCGGATATTCAGCCATTTGTGGTAATTTTTTATTCAAACTTTATCAGTAGCAGTCCTGAGTTATTTTGAAAATTAATCTTGTTAAATTAGTGATGTTACAGATTTAAAAAAAATTAAATGTTTCAGATTTTTAACAGTCTCCCAAAAAGGTTTGTTAAGGTTTTCTATGCTCTCGTTGAGCTCGCAGGCTACCAGTTTACTGCTACGCTCACTCTTACTAACCTCCCTTTTGTTGTTTTTTTAGCTTTATTGACAAGCACCTTTTTTTTTTCCCACATACACATACACAGTTCAACAGCGAAACTGCAAAAATTTTAAAAGCGGCGTAGCAGTATACATTTAGAATTGAAGGACTTGCAGCAAGGAGGGCCCAGCTCCACATTGGTATATTCTCTGTTCATGGGTCTTTTATGTTAAAAAAATATCCATATTTGTATTGGAGTAAAAAAGCCATTGGAGTAGCGGTAAAATATCATTTTTACTAGCACTTTGAATGAGGACAAACGAGAAATGAGAGCATAAGTTAAAAGATGAATTTTTGAATTTTTTTCCCCGAAAATTTAAAAATATGGAGCTGGACCCTTTAATTGCCGATACAGTATTAAGTTGTTTGGTATACAGTTTTCTGTTTTTGGTTTTTTTTTTTTTTTTTTTTTTTTTTTTTTTTCAGTCTTTTCTCAGTTCATCATATCAACGTTCAGTTTTCTTACTCAGATAGCTTTACAAAATTCATTTTTTGTCCTTTTATTATTAATGTTTTGTGCGCTTAGTTCATTTATTAAATATCAGGTTCTTGGCGCTGATGCCACATAAAATTCACTTCAACATCAAAATTACAAAATATTTAAAAACAGCATATGTTTAGAATTTCTGATAGACAGTCTCGCACGCTGCAGATAAAACTGTTTTATTCCGTACACTGCTCGCTTTGAAATCGTTGAGTTTCTCAATCAAAAAGTCTGCAAAATATGAATGCTAAAGATTATATTACATCAAAATTTTACAAAATATGAAATAGATAATAAAACCAATTCGAAATTCAAAATTCGGTCGTAGAGGACTACGTTACTCAAAATTGGATGGAATACCGTTGTTTTTTCCCATTGCGAGAAGCATGCATACATTCATGTATATTCTTCATTATTTAATATCTTTAAATATAATACAGGGCGATAATATTTGATGGTAACAATCTGAAAAGTGACACAACGGCATTTAAGTATTTCGACCTAAAATGCCGTTTCGAGTCTAATATCACATTCGGGACTAACGTCTCTTTTGGGCCAATAAATCAGTTATGTACTGTCTGGTGGCCATCTTTCTAAGACGAGCATATATGAATATCATCAATAATTATATCAGTGGTTAAGATAGCCGTTCCCTAACCCACCAAGATCATGTATTATATGAGCTAACACAATGTTTAATTTTGTATCAAACTGAAATACTTTACATACTTAAAAAAGGAATTACATTTTCACTGATATACTGGTGTTTTTCACTATAACTGGAGGATCGGACATGATGGTTCTGTTAACTGTACACCGCAGTCATTTTATATCACCCCTTTTTCCACAAATAAATTCTATGCTACACACAAAAAAAGATATTCATAATTTTAAAACACTTCAGTCTGCGTTATCGTAAAATAATCTTCTTAGTTTTTGTACCAAAGTAACTAGAAATTGTCCAAATTTTAACGGTTGGTTATCTTGACGTTCTCAGACACTTTGATGATGCCACCGGCCTAACTTTCCATGAAAGTCGTGACCGTGCGGGGGAAAAAAAAAAAAAAAAAAAAAAAGCACTAGGCTTGTTGTGTTACTCACATTTGTTCAATGTTATTGTTAGCGAACTTATCGGGCACAGCCACCTGCTGCAAAATGATCACGTGCTGCCATTGCTAGATTCCAGACATGGTCTAACTTAGTGAAAGAAAACAAAATACCGCTTAGATATCTGCAGGGTTACCAAGAGAGAACGTAATGAAATTTGGTTAGGTTAAGTTAATCGATTTAAAATAAAATAAATTGAAAGTACATGAAAGGGATTGCTTCGGAAGGACTTTCTAAGGGAAACTGGCTCGTACCTACGTTATTCCCTGGAAGGGAAAAACGACGAGATCTTGCTTTTATCTAAACAAAAAATAACTTAATATTCATGCTAGTAAAGGCATTAACTTTAAGGTTCCTCATAAGACAGTTAAAATTAAATGTTGCATTAATTAATTAAATGTAGGATAACTGTAAAACCTTCACGTTATGACAAGTTTCTTTTTGTATAATTTGTACATTGTTGTTAAGGCTTCTTGGTTAAGTACATTGTACTTTGATTTATGTTCCACTCACTGTACATCAATAGGTGGGAGGAGATGTGACGAGTAACTCGTAGCTTGTGTAAACGCATTTTTTCCCCTTAAAGTTATTTTGGTACTTTTCCGTTTTGCCGGCACAAGCGATAAAGTCGCCAATAATGGTACAACCGATGCCAAACGGAATATTCTCGCTGGTAACCTTTTACGCTTCATTCAGATAGTTCAGTTTTATGTCTAAGGCCATTTTCGGCAATTAAATCAATTAGGATGCAATCACAACGCTTACCCGAAGCCGAAAATATAGAAAAGGTAAAGTCAAGGGTTAAATTCATCCATTCTAATGAGAATGCATTAGCGAAGTAAAGCACTGCAGTTTTACATAATTTCTGAGTAAGCTATTCGTACGAATTGAAGTATTTCTTGCATTTAAACTTGTGTTCCAAATTAAGATTTAACTTGAAATTGATGTAGATAATTACTGAGAGCATTATATTTTGTAGAGTAGTATAGTACGTGAGATGAGATCGCTTGGGGTCACGTGATATGAAACAGGATGTTGAACCATGAAAGCATAGTAAATTCTTAAATTAATGTCTTTTTATAAATTTATTGTCTTTATTTATTGTCTTTTTATAAAATTGTAAGCGATATTAAAATGTTTATGCCTTCAAAAAAAGAATTCTTAGGACTAACATTTTTTAATATTTTTTGTGTGTATAATGTATGTTGTCGCCAATAATGTCTGCTTGGCGAGATTTGCGCCGGCGAAACGGAAAAGTACCGTTATTTTTCATGCTTTGGCAACATTGTATATTTAGGTTTGTATTTAGAATATTAAAAAAAAAATGGCGTAAATGAGCCATGCTTTTGTACTAAGGTGGACTGCCTGTTTTATTTTGATTACTTAGGTGAATTACATGCTTTATTTCGATTACTTATTCCTTTTTGGTAAAATATTAGTATACGGTACGGCCTCGGCGTGATTTGGAAAATTCTCGCCAACATCAAAATCATTCGTTTACTTCTCATCATAAATATCATGCTAACTGCTCATCATAAGTCGCCAAATCCCGTGTGTATCGTATACTAGGATTAAACCTTCCTTTTTTCAGTTGCTTTTACTAGAGACCGACTGAATGAATGAAACTCCTAGTGCACGGTACTGCCTTGGCGTGATCTGGAAAATTGTCGCCAACGACAAAATGACTTGCCAAATCTCGTGTGTGCCGTATACTAAGATTAAACCTTCATTTTTTACTTGTTTTTACTGGAGAACTGAATGAATGAAATGCAGATTGAATCTCGCAGTACACTCTTTATATAATTTCTCCCATCTGCATTTTCCGTTTCTAGATTTAATTATTACTTTGTCCACTCATTATTCAAACTACTGTTTTGTGCATTCATTATCCCACATGATTTTATTAAACTGAAATATCTCTAATGAAAACTACACAATATAAAACTGTTTATACATAGTTTTTTTAACTATTTTCAGCGCGAATTCGTCCAGTTTCCGCCCTTTGTTATTAAAACAGCATGCTCATTTATTATCAGGGTATATTTAATTGTAATTTTACATGAATAAAACAAAAAGGAATATGTTTTTTAAACTAGGATTTTAAAGCCGTTACGTTTTACGTCCCCAGAACTTCATTTTATTTCATTTTAGCTTATTAAGAGAAAGTGTTTTCGTTTTCTTTTAAATGTTTTTATGTTTGAGATATATCTTCTCCTTACAAATATATTTTTGTATAGTTGCCGAAGGGTAGAGGTTGCAAACGATCAAATGTGCAAGATCCTCCGGAACGTCCCAATTTCGCAGACAAAAACATAATGTTTTCTGCTGAAGTTATATATCGAGTAATTGACAGAAATGAACAAGATGTAAATGTATGGAGTTACTACAGCACTCTCACTGTAAGTGAAGTATTCAGTTTTTTTCTAATCCTACAATAATGTGAAATTATTTATTCTGTACCCTGTGTCTATTAAAGTCCTTACTTAGTCCGTGGATCGTAAACGTATTCTTCCAACCCTAAAAATGTCTTAAAATGGCGAATGTATACATATTTTCTTATTTTTAAAATTTAAAAATCAGTTTCGTAAAAAATATGAAATTAAATTTTTTATGAGGCTTCCTGGTCTTTACAGTTACATGTAGTAATTATTAAAAAATAGCTTAACACCCGAATACTATCCTAAAAAAACTTACGTCATTGCTGTCGTTGTATCTTTGAGATACATGATATAAATTCTACAATATATCTATTTTTTAAATTAGTATCTTAAACAAAGGTAATAAAGAAATAGAAGAAACATTCTTTAACATTTTAATAGCCGAAAGCTTACAAAATAGCAAATGGAAAAGAAAATATAACTAAATACATTATAAAAGCAAATAAATAACTACGATTTTGTTTCACTCTTTAAAGAAACGTGCTAAATAATAAAACACCTAAGAAAAATTAACTCTAGCAAACTATTCACATTCTTCTGTTCTCCGACATTCTATGCATTCCATCAGTACAAATCCATCAGTGCCTCTAGCTTTTCGTCAATTGTATTATCACATCCAAAAACAGTAGCAATCTCAGCAGTTGTTTACAAATTTTTCAAAGAAATTACGAATATGTGCTTTTTTTTAAACGCTCAACTACTCTTCTTTGTAGTCTATTTTCCTTATCACCAAACCTCAGAGTTTGTAGTAAGAATCTAATTCCATCAGTACAAATCCATCAGTGCCTCTAGCTTTTCGTCAATTGTATTATCACATTCAAAAACAGTAGCAATCTCAGCAGTTGTTTACAAATTTTTCAAAGAAATTACGAATATGTGCTTTTTTTTTTAAACGCTCAACTACTCTTCTTGTAGTCTATTTTCCTTATCACAAACCTCAGAGTTTGTAGTAAGAATCTAAACCTAAAGAGGGACATGGTCAAACGGAAGATTTCTATGCCAAACCCATCTTTATCCCGCAGATCTTCAAGCCTGATTTTTTCCAGCTTTGTAGCGTCCTGTCAAATATAAAAGGTCTATGAAGGCATATATTTCAGTACTATCAGTATGGTATGCAAACTTAGGCTGTGAATAACTTGGACTTATGTTGTCAATATGCTGATTTGTATACCTAACAGTCATATAGCTATCATGTCATCGTCAATGAGACACTTCCAAGTATCCAAAACTTTAGCAATCTTTCCTATCACACCTAGAAGCCGCTTGATTAAATTATGCTTCGAAGTTCTCTTCTGTTGATTGTAAGGAGGGATTTTTTTCCCCAAGTAAATGAGTCTATAACCTTTTTCGACAGCTTTCGGTGACCCAAACGTAGAAATCCGCCTCTTCTTCTTCATCAGAACTAACATCTGTGCTGCTCTGCTCTGTTTCCGCGTCTTCATCTCAATCTTCATTTCCCTCTGAAGCATCAGTGTTACATTCTTCCTTTTCTAAATCATAAGATGAAACTCCAGGTTGAACTTCATCATCACGTATGCCATCAAATAAAATCTGGTGGATTCTTGCTATATCATCTGGATTATTCAAGTCCGGAAAAAATTGTTTTCGATGTCATTTTGCATCTGTAACGGCAAAAAAATAAATGCGTATTCTACTAAAGTAATATAATCCAGTGACATCAAAAAATAATGAAACAAATCGAAGGACAAAGTAAAAAAAAAAACCCACGTAATTGCTAACCTTGTATATCTGAGATACCATATGCCAGTATTTTTTAAGAGAACATAATTTCTGGCAAAATGGCAAAATTAATGATGGACTAGATTATCTAAATGCTAAATAATTGAAAAAAAAAAAATACAAATTAAAAACAAAAATATAGATGATCAAAAATACTTACAAATTTGCTGTCGTCGTATCTGAGAGATACACGAGCCACTACAGGAGATGACCTTCACTTCACAAGGATCAACATTACACTGATGTTTGACTTTCTGCAGGTTATGAATGTAAAGGCGAGGATGGACCCGTCACCTTACGGCTGCACTTGTAGTTAGAAAAAAAAAGTCAGTGTGTATCTCACAGATACAAGGAGAGCATTCGAGTGTTAAATAGGTTTGACTTCCGTCAGCAAAAATTGACTGAAATATTTAATTTAAAAGTTTGAGACCATTTTCAGGGATCCTCTACAAATTGAAGGGGGAAATATTTAAATTAATACGAAAGTAACATCAGTTGAAAAAAAAAAAAAGATTTCAGATGTTAATAGATTAAGCCATGAGCATTACTATGCAAAATGCCGCAAAACATTTTGACCAATATAAGTTTTACTTGTTCTGATGATCTTACTCACGAAATCTTACAGAATTCGTGTTCTAGAAAACTATGGTAGGCTTTAGTTTTGGTATATAATCAATTCATAACATTATTTGCTTTAATTAAAAGAGAAGAAAATTTCTAATTCAGTGACCGTTTTTGTATTATAGTAAATATATTTTTGTATACCTATAGACTATATATGCACTGTTTTCCTTGTGCCGTGACAACCTTCTCACCGTAAAATTTAAAAAGTCTATGTTTACGAAAGTATTTTTACTTACTTGTACGAAGTAAAGGAAGTATTTTAATCACGAAAAATTCTGGGTGTACTATTTCAAAGAAAGCATCCATTTTGGCCGCTATCGAATGCTGTTCAACTATGTTTTTTCTTAGCATCTGTATATAAGGACAGAATAAAGGGCGTTTTCCACAAATGAATTATAAAACTGATTTAAAATGGATTCAGAAGAGATTTTTTCGTAGCGTCTGTACGTACGTACATCGCAAAACTCAAAAACGAGTAACCCCAGAACGTTGAAATTTTGTATATAGGACTGTATAACATGTAGTTGTGCCCCCTCCCATTTTGGTTGCGATCGGCCGCACCTGTCTGTTTCGGCGAAACGCGTAATGGAGTTAGCTTGGTTCGACGTTTAACTAGAAATTTCCCTTGAAAAGCCAGGTTGGAAGTCGAATTGAGCTAATTTACCATTTTCCGCTTTATAATTTTATATAATTTTTATGTTTTTTCATATGTTTTTATTTGTTTTATTTGTTTTAACTTGTTCCATCGATCGATTTTTATATGTTTTAACATTTCACTTATCACATCGATAGGTATTTTGCAGTATTTTTTGCAATTGACCTGTTTCCAACGATTAGTATTTTACTGTGTTTTATATTATACATTTTATTTCGCGTGTAGCCTAATTTTTCACCCTTCAATGTCATTGTTTTTTAAAAAATACTGTGTTGAACTTTTTCTTGGAGCCACAGCTCCTGGTAACTTTTTGGCGAGCTAACTACAATTTATCTTCTTCTCTTTTTCTTAATTTTGCAGCATATTGCGCAAAAAGTTTTTAGATTAAATTGGTCTTTTTATAGTACTTATATAGTACTTACTACCTAGCTTTTTAAATAAATATATATATATATATACCCACTCTGTTACTCGGCTCCGTGAGCTCAGTTTTTTTTTTATTCTTATATGTTGGTAAATTGTGCATTTTCTCCTTTAAAAATGATCGAATTATATTATTCTGATCTTCCGGTTAAGGTTTTTATGCCTTTAATTAATCTGCGTGAAAACGTTGTAGAATTACCGATAATTAAAAGTTATTTCATTGCGCCTTAATCTATTTCTTTTTACCGTAAGCAGCCATATTTATTTACATTTGAAACTTAGCAGAATAGTGAATTAAGTCTTTCTGCACCTTCAGTGTCCTTTTGCCAAGTGGGGCCAAACGTAAACTTTCAGTTTTGTGCACCGATAAATCTGCCTTCTTGCTTGCTGGCTAAATAGCTTGTTTTTGCTTAGAAATTTAATTGTGAAAACTGTTTTCAATTCTTTTGACCGTATTTGATGTTTTATGTTTTTCTATAACTGAATGATATCTGTATGAAGATATTTTGAGTTTTTATGTATTTTTGTCTTGCCGCGAAGTGAGAACCGAATTAATTGAATGAGAAATCTGTCTCTAATGAAATTCCTGGAAATAAGTTTGAATGAAATGCAGGAAAGAATGCGCATAATTTAATATCCGTACAATGAAGTCATGTTGTGTACATGTTACTGTGAAAGACCGAAATTGGAGAATGTCGACTTTCACCGGAGAAATATCAACATTCACCAAATACGTCGGTGAAAAAACCGAATATTTCTCTACATTCTTGTATATTCGGACCCTCACCGGTGGCGTAATGGCAGACCGCACATTGAGTTGAACAGTGTTAAGCGAATTTCGCTTACTGCGCATGCTTGATGGTGTGTACCTTTGGCGCGGGGAGAAATATTGGCGACTAAGCAACCCTTCGTTAGCTTATTCGTGATCTTCATGGCTGTCTAGTGTGTTCGAGTGATTTTTAAAATTGCAATGTTGTGGAACTTTGCTTATTAGTTATTTTAAAGTCCATGCCGATTGCACTTGCTTATTTTTATAATATGTTTCATTTTAATGTGTCAATAACAGTGCATTTAATATTTGTTAACATATGTTCGTAATAATTCGTTATTTAAATGTAATTTGTTTACATGTTACAATTCAGTATTTGTAAACTGGAGCATCTCGCTTAGTTTGTTAGCGTATATTCGCGCTTTTATTTTCTCATTTCAAAGAATTTAATAAATAGCATTAAAGAATTGTAAAATTTCTTCAGTGTTATTTGCAAGCACTTGTTATATTCCTCAGTGTTTCTTTATGTATGTACGAATGGAACGTATGGTAAATCCTAAATTGTTTTTATTGCTTAAAAGTATAATGAATAAATTTTCAACTAATATATCCTAAATTTCAGTCTTTTGCTGAACGAAAATTTGTACAGTTCCAAAGGAATGTGCAGAATTTCATAAGTATTATATTTTATATTTTGAATGTAAACACTGCTTCACATTACTTCGCAATAATTTCGGCTTTCTAGTTGTT